ACACGTCGCCTTATCAGGCCAACTATTGGGCCTGTGCCATCCCCAACTCTATGCCACCTTCTCCAAACCGCAAATCCCCCAGTTGGGATCCTGAAAAGGAGTACCAGGAGCTCCTGGACTACACGTACCCTCTGAGACCCAACATGGCTGGTACATGGGGTTCATTAGAGGTGGATCTTCTCTTGCGAACTGATCCATTGTTGCAAGACTCAGGCATTGAGTTGGACCACTCTTCCACTCTGTCCTGTTTAGACCGATCCTATACAGGGACTCGACAGGAACGGTGTAGCCCAGGAACAGCGCAAAGGTCAACTGAGTTTTGTGCTCTAAACAAATCACATTCTAAATCCTTGGATGGCATCATGTCCAGTAGCCTGTACTCTTCACTAGACCAAGCTGGCTTGTCAGTTGAGAGTCTGGACTGTGACGGGAAGCCAGGGGCCCATTATCGTAAATTTGGCATCTTCTCGACATTCAGACCTGTCCCCACTTTCATTAGTTCAACTCACATCCTTCCTTGTCCTGATTCACTGGACGAAGAGTTTCTTCGCCTACCAGAAAGGCTACAAGAACTTCAGGTGCTTTCACAGCAGCTGAGGGACATTAGTGACCAGATGAGCCAACCAGTCATCACCAGCTGGGAATCCCTGGAGAGCAAGATCACCTCAGTCCGATCACCAACGGCTCAAGTGGGAAAGCAGAAACCACTGGTGGAAGAAAGGGGATCAGTTTCTGAAATTCCTCTCACACATGAGGATCATTTAGATAAATCAAAAGAGCCTGGTTCCACAATCCAGATGATTAGCCAAGACATGAATAGGAGGAACATGAGGGAGGTGGAAGCTGTTATGGATCAACTGAGCAGACTGTCAATGTCAGAGCTTCAGAGGACAATACAAACAGACCAGAACAAAAATGAGACCAAGGAGTCACTAATGCAGCACATACAGGTGAGTAGATGTTTCTGTTTTAGTTCTGTTCTGTTGTGAAGTCCTGAGACGGCTGAGAATTAATGAGAAATGTTGTATCGTTTTTTTAATAGGCATTTTGCTCGAACCTAGAAAAACTGATTCAGTGGCTGCACAAGGTGGTAGAGAAAGTAGAAGTTCTTTCTCCTCCCATGGTTGACTTGGAGAGCGTCAAAACCTCCTTGGCTGATTACAAGGTTTGTGAACTACACCACCATTTAATAAAGTTTTGGATCGGTAAGATCATTATTATTATATTTATTGAAAGAAGGTAATATGTTTGTTCATTAAGGATGCGTTAAATGTATCAAAAAAGTGACCAGGTGCTACTTCAAATAAATTCTGTTCTTCTGAACTTTAAGTTCACCAAAGTATCCTGAAAAAATCTACCTCAGTTTCCACAAATAAGCAGAACAACTGTTTTCAACATTGATAATAAAATAAACATTTTTTTTAGCAGCAAATCATCATATTAGAATGATTTCTGAGGGATCATGTGGAGTAATGACTGTTAAAGATTCAGCTTTGACATTACAATAGTTAACAGTTAATTTAAATTGTAATAATATTTCACAATATTACTGTTTTACTGTATTTTGGATAAATAATGCAGCTTTGGTGAGCATAAGAGATGTTTTTTTTCTTTCAAAAACATTAAAATAAAAATCTTACTGAGCCTAACATTTCTAAATGGTAGTGCACATGCATCTTATGTGACAATAAAAAGTGTAAAAATTTGATTACAAAAGAAGTTCATTCAAAAAGCACATAACTGTACCACATGATATTTTTCAGAGTTTTCAGGAAGAAGTTCAGGCTCATAAGCCCCTCACTGCAGATGTTCTGCAGACCGGAGAGATGCTTTTGCATTGCATGAATTCAGCCTCTCCATGTGAGTCTTACTACCTTTATCAAACTATAATGCAATAAGAAGATATAATTTCAAAATTCTCTCTACCATTCTGCTGCTGTACTGAACCTTGAATTGGCATGACTACTTTGAATGGAAAGAAAAAGCTGCATTTTCTTACTGAACACTCGGTAGCGGCTCTAGAGCTATTCAATTTTAAATTAGAATAAACATTAGATCTTTTTATCTTCCAAAGCACTGTAATGCACTTTTTGTTTCCTTTGTTTCTTGATCAGTTGGTACACTTCTACGAGTATACTGCTTCTCAGTTTTGGACATGTTGTGCAGTGTAACCCAATACTGAGTTACATCAGACCGAAACAGGAAACGCTCTGCTTGGAGAATGCGGCCATGCATGCTTAACTTAGAGAGCCCTGCTGTTGCCTAGCTAGCATACTTCATTTCAGAATTCACATCAAGCATTGTTTTTGTCAACACATTAGTGTTTAGCTGTCCTCATACTGCTGCTAATATTTTTTTTCCTGATTCCTCAGTTCTGAAAGACACACTGGTGCTGATAGAGAGGCAGTCTCACACACTGGAAACTCATTCAGAGTATCTTTTCTCCTCTATTCTGTCAGCCATGGAGTGCCTCACTGACCCCAGATCTGAGGAAGCATCAGGTAAATAAATGATCAACTATTATTATAGTGCCCTCTAGTGTCATCACATGGTTAGAGCTCTCGAAATGGATGACTGAATTGTAATCATTGTGATATTAAGTTCACTGTTCACATGTAACTTCTATGTGTCACCTTGACTGTAGCCTCTTTTGATTATTAAAATGCTGCATCATCAAATAGTTTCTCACTCTTTCTCCACAGAAGCAGTTTCTGAGAATTATTAGGAATCTGGGAAGGCTCACTGTCTTCACTGAGGCGTGTCCTTTTTGGTCTTTTCACATCAAGGATGAAAAATGCTTCTTACTTGACTCTTATGTCACCATTTTCTTTGTTTTACACGCTTAACACGTTTACTGTATTCAGAAGTGGTGTTGTCACAAGCTTGAGTTAACTGTCACAACATATGTGATGAATTTTTCACTTTGTATTTTTACACACCAGCTTATTATTGTCATTTTTTTTAACTCAAAAATGTCCTGTGATGGCTCAACTTAGTAATACTGTTTGACTGAAGAGGTGCACAGACATGGTGCCAATCGTGATTGTGATCTCAGGTTATTACCCTATTAAGTTTTAATGGAGAGCAGTCCAGCCTCCATTAGCATCCCTGCAGCTTTAGTTTCCCTTCTGAGTAACCTGTGCCTCACAAAGATATACTGTATTTTTTGACTGATAATTAGTGTGATCAATGGTATCATTAATATGTGAACATACTGAATATATGAATAATCTGTTTGGTGAACATTCATACATATAAACTTAAAAAAATATATATGTGACCCTGGAACACAAAATGCATAAGGGTCAATTTTTCGAAATTGAGATTTATATATCATCTGAAAGCTGAATAAATAAGCTTTCCATTGATGTATGGTTTGTTAGGATAGGACAATATTTGGCCGAGATACAAATATCTGGAATCTGGAGGGTGCAAAAAATCAAAATATTGAGAAAATCACTTTTAAAGTTGTCCAAATTAAGTTCTTAGCAATGCATATTACTAATCAAAAATTAAGTTTTGATATATTTACAGTAGAAAATTGACAAAATATCTTCATGGAACATGATCTTTACTTAATATCCTAATGATTTTTGGCATAAAAGAAAAATCAATAATTTTGACCCATACAATGTATTTTTGGCTATTGCTACAAATATACCCCAGCGACTTAAGACTGGTTTTGTGGTCCAAGGTCACATATATTTGATTAATTGTGTTACAGCAACAGTTCACCCAAACATTTAAATTGTCATCATTTACTCGCCCTCATGTCACTCTTCCGCTGCAGATAAAAAAAAGATATTTAGAGAAATGTCTGTTTGGTTTTTTGTCCACACAATGAAAGTCTATAGTGTCCAATGTTGATTAGTCATCAGCATAGTTCAAAATACCTTTCTTTATGTTCCTTGGAAGAAAGAAAGCTTGGAGTGAGTAAATGATGACACAATTTTAAATGTGGGGTGAACTACCTCTTTAAAGGGAGAAAACAATGTCAGTCTGTTAACATCAAATGAATGAAATGCAATAATTGTGACACATAATGCATTTTGTGGAATCAGCTGAATTAATTTGACAGCAAACTAAAAACCTCAAAGTTTTGAAGAACTTCAGCTGCAGAGATCATGGATTGATGTGCAACTGTTTTTATGCTGACAAAAAAAGTATTTTTAACAATAAACATTCTCCTTTTTGATAGTTTTCGTTATTTTGGTTAATAGGTTAAAATCTACATTTCTGTGTTAGTTTTGATATGGATACTTCATTAAATGCAAAATTACTAAATTCCATTTACGCACATTGTACTCAAGGATTACCATTCATACATACAGAATCACATACAGTATTAAAATAGGTCCTCAATTTACTCAGGCCTTTAGAAAGTTTGCTAAAATTGCATTAGAAGATTTAATGATTTTAATCTAAAAACTAAATCAGTTATTTCAGAGGGTGGATGCTATCAAGATCTCTGTTATTCTACAAGATCCATGAACCAGTATTATTTTTGTTTATTAAAAAAGCTTAAATATAATATAGATTCAAAACTGAAACTGCTGATGATACACGGGGCAACTTTTTGTTAAGCAGTGTTGCTTGGCCACTTTTCCATTGAGAATGGGTAACAAATTTCTCTCTGGATACTTGATATCAGTCGTGGACCGTGTCTCACCTGGTTGCCCATTGACGGCAACATTGCCCAAAGTTGCCCCGCGTATCATCAGTCTATTAAATCTATTATAACTTCACATTAACAAATAAAATGGAAATTAAATAAAGCTTAATAAAAATTTAAAATCAAATATAATTGACAAAAGCACTTAAAATTTACACTAAAACTAGAAATATAAAAGCTAATTGAAAATATTAATAAATACTGTATTAGTATGTAAATAATACTAAAATATGAATTAACTGCTTTTGGGGTGCTTTAATACTACATGTCCCATCTAGGATATGTGAAACTTCCATCTAAAACTGCACAAAATGATAAACTAGACATGAACGGTTTCAGAGTTCATTCAAAAAATGAATTCATTTGCCTTTATTATGAAAAAGAGAACATAGTGTTTGAGTCACATATGCAATTGTGAGATTGTTGCTTTCAATGCATTCCGCAGGTAAATGGCCAATATCGAGCGATTGTATATTAATGGAACAATATATTTGCATATAAATGTTGAATAAATAAAACAAAGGGTTTCTACATGTCCCACCAAGAATCGTAGACATACTGATATTGTACAGTATGGTCGTACAATAGTTATTTATATTTTTGTGAACTTGTTACACATCGCGCAACAAAACTACAAGAGTCTGCAGCCACAACTTAAATGCAAAAGAAGGTAAAACTACTCGAATCATGTATGTAACTCTACAGAGCTGTCAATTCAGATCTTACATATATATACATAGTGTATATGTACATATATTTCACTAAACAGATGTAGGACTGTGAACCACCGCTGCCCGGTTGATCGCAACAGAACGGCAAAACAATCCGTGGGGACAGAAACCTACACATGCAAATATAAACAGTAAAATAATCAACAAGTAAGAACAAAGTAAGAAAGGAAAAGGACAGAAAAAGAAAATGTCATTGAATTTTGACCACAGACCAGCCCTGCAGTAGGAATGCAGTGAGATAAATACACACATTATTCTTAGAAACCTGCACACAGAGGATTTAAAATCGTTGAGAGCAGATTTTTGAATGTTTTTGGTAGTGCGGCTACATACAGTACAACTTGGGTCACTTAAATTGTTGCCTGTTTCACACTCTCTTTTATTCTTTCTATTCTCCATATTCACTCTTTGCTCCATTACAAATGATCTATCCCCCTTTCTTTCTCCTATTGTGGGGGCTCTTGCTCCAAGATCCAGGGGCCGAGGTGAAGGGGGTCGAGGGGTCCTCAGCAGCAGCCTCCAGCTGCAGGCTTCACTGGAGTGCTCTGGATCTTCACGTTAGACTTCTCAGCGCCTCCAGCTGTGGCTCCGGGGCCCATTCTCTTCTTGATCTCGGCAGCCATGGTCATGAAGGCCTGCTCCACATTGGTGGCGTTCTTAGCGCTAGTTTCCAAGAAAGGAATGCCAAGGGAATCAGCAAATTCCTAGAGATAAACCAAGCCATTCTTTCCGTTAGAACACTGGAAAAGTGAACGACTGCAAATCTAATGTACACACAGGCTTTGCTCCAAAACCTAGTGAGCTGCCTATATATGCAGAAATTTAAAGCAGTGTTGTCAACCACAACTAAAACTATAAAAAAAAAAAAAATGTTCACTGAAATAAAAACTTGCATGAAAAAGAGAGGTTGCTTTGGCAACTAACTGAAATAAAATAAGTTAAAGTAGTAAAACTGAAAAAAACTAAATAGAAGTATTTAAAATAAAATGCAAAAAAATATAGATAAAAAAAAAAATAGAAATGACATAGAAATAATACTAAACAGTGCTCAAACTATACAGTGGACTTTGGGGGAGCCCACTTGTCAAGGTTGTGCGCTTGCGCATGCCTCAAAAGAAGACGCCTCGAAAGAAGACTTACAATGACTTACAAAGATACATAACAGCTACAAGTGTATGCACTACTTGCTTTATGCAAGCACTATATAGGATAAATCACTATACAGGATTTACCCTATTATACTTTATCGACACGAATTGATAGGTGAAACAACAAACAGCCACCCACAAATAATCTATAAAAGCATCAGGCTGTCTTTGAGTTCACATGAACAACGGTTAAAGTTACTCGTCGTCAGGCTACAGAAGAATACCATAATTCCTCCATTCAATTAGGCCTAAGACATCGAGAGTCACGGAGACCTATAACAACCCAGCCACAACACATAATTGCGAATAACATGCCTTACCTTAACACAGAATCGACCACAGAGTCCAACGTTTATATTTTTTCTACGAATCTTTGAGTTAACATGTACTAAACATGAGTGGAATTTGCACCGCAGCGCCTCCACACCTTGATGCTCATGACAAGAATAGCATGTATAGTTATCTTTATTGAAGTGAATTGGGTTTAAATCGCTGTCATGCATGAATGAATGATATTTTTGCAATTTTACACATAATAATCCACAATTATCACATTACACCAAACTGAAATTGCACGTCAAAATAAGTCAATATTTTTTGAGACCCCCTAAAATTTCACAAATCACGTTTTCAGGGGAGCCCATGTCTTATTAAGGGGAGCCGAGCTCCTCCTAGCTCCCCCGTAGTTCGCACCCTGATACTAAAATAAAATTGCTCCTGACACATTCTATAAGACAGGCAGCAGCACATGCATCCTTCATAGAGAAGGCAATCCCAGAATGCCTTATGAGCTCTAAAATGCCAGACAAAGTGAAAAAAGTAAATCAAAAAAATAATTCATTCAGTACTGAAATGTATAAGGTACGATTTCAAATTTTTACTAAAGTGTGCATTCTATATTTTTATGTTTATTACAGCATCATTAGCGCATCAACATGCTATATCTACTGAAATCAAAAGTATCCTATGCACTTTATCATTGCCCATGTATAACATTCCAAATCAGTCTGACAGCAAGGCAGCTCACTAGGTTTTGAAAAGGAGTCATTATAATAGTGGAATAAGTTAAAGGGGTCATATGATGCGATTTCAAGTTTTCCTTTCTCTTTGGTGTTACAAGCTGTTCGTGCATAGATAAGATCCCTAAAGTTGCAAAGACTAAAGTCTCAAACGAAAGAGATATTCTTTATAAAAGTTAAGACTAGTCCACGCCCTCCTAAAACGCCTCGTTTAAACACACCCCCACGTCTACGTCACTGTGTGGGAAGATTGCATAACACCACCCAAATGTTCACGCAAAGAAAGAAGGTGTAACTTTTATTCTCGCTGTAGTATTGTTACCGCCGCCGCCATGTCGTGGAGACGCTGTGTGTTTCATTGTGAAAGCAAAACTACTCTGTTTGGCCTTCAAAAAGAGGACACAACTAGAAATTAGTGGTTAAGTTGTATTTACAACACTGTTCGAGAACAGTTCAACCCAAATATTCAGATGTGTGCAGCGCATTTTACGGAGGACTGTTTCCTGAACCTGGGAAAGTTGCCTACAATGCCGTCTACACACAAAGGCTGTTTCTATAAAGTGGGGCAGTTCCAACTTTGCAAGGACAGTCTGGCGCTTCTGACTCACAGCCTGTAAGTACGTTTTCATATTTAAAGAGTTTGCCCCTGATGATTCAAACGCGAGTTTTGAGCAGAGTAGAGAAGTCTTGTTGTTTGTCATTTCTCCGATCACAAATGCAGACATGGTTTTGTTTACGCGGCGCGATATGCAACGCAACGCGTAAAAAGACAGTATAAGTCATTATAATTCGTAATTATGTCCCCACTGGATGCAACAAATGCCTCGTTTATAATGAGTTTTAATGTTTTTGTCTCGTCGCTCTGGGACACGGCATCACAGTATGGTAAGGGGCGTAACATTTCCGTCACACGCTTGAGGCATTCGGCCAATCACAATGCATTGGATAGCTGGCCAATCAGAGCACACCTCGCTTTTCAGAACGATGAGCTTTGTAAAAATCGACGCGTTACGCGTTTCAGGGGCATAGAGGAGCAACAATAATGTACAGTATGTGGAAAATAATCTGTTTTTTTTAACCTTAAACCGCATAAACACATCGCATTACACCAAATACACAAAATAATGTTCTTTTTAGCAACGTCATATGACCCCTTTAAGTAATACGAAGCAATATTACCTTTGCCGTTGTGTAGTCCACAACTTTTTTTGTTGTTAAGTCACACTTGTTGCCAACCAATAACTTGTTAACATTTTCACTGGCGTAGCGGTCAATCTCCTGTAGCCACTGTTTAACATTATTGAAGGACTCCTGAGGGCATAAAAAAAATGTTAAAACAAATACAGTAGAGCAGAAATTAAAACTCATTATTTTAAGGTATCTTCACAGGTGTTTATAGTGAAATTATGACACTTGCTTAAGGTTTGGATGAGCTCACCTGATCGGTAACATCATAGACTACAATGATGCCATGTGCTCCTCTGTAGTAACTGGATGTGATTGTGCGAAACCTCTCCTGCCCTGCTGTATCCCACTGTAAGGAAGAAGGAATAATATGACACCTGAATCAAATGCAAAAATAGGCTCAGAAAAATACTGTTTTTATACTACTTCAATAGTAGGGCTGAGTACTGACACAGATTCCACAAACTCGATTCTCTTAACTAATGCTGTAAGCTCGGCCTATACAGGAAACCCCTAAATAGTACATTAAAGGATCAAATCAACAACACTTTTGTGATAAAATTGACAATTTGAAAGCTGAGACTTGGTTTCTTATCAGAAGTAACACAACCTTTTGTGATTATTTGATGGCAGGAGTGCCATCAAATAGTACATCAAATGATATTTGTTTATCAAAATGAAAATTAAGTAAGTACTCAATATTGTTATGTTAACCCAGCCCTATTCAATAGTAGCAGACAAAGGTCCCTCTCTGACATAATTTACATCAAAAGATCAAGTAAATTCTTCATGATGAGCACTGACATAACTCTGCTCTCTCTGATGATGTCTCTAAACATCTCTAAAACCATACCATCGAAACACCAAGTGCTCACTTTTCTTCAATCACATGCTTGTATATTCCATTTATTTAATCTTATACACAAACATTCATTTCATTACAGGGCAGAAAGGAACTTACGATTTGAAGTTTGATGGTCTTTCCGTCTAATTCTATAGTTCTTATTTTAAAGTCCACACCGATAGTGCTAATGTAGCTTTCTGTGTATGTGTCATCCTGAAAGAAGCAAAACAGCAGGTGAATTAGATGTTTCAATGGTCAAATCTCTCCCCACAGTGCTTTGAATTAAAATATAAATTCCATATAAATGTGATACAAGTCTTTTAGTATGCACAGTTATTTTGTACACAAATAAAGACAGCTGATTATTTAACCTCTGCAAAAATTATGTCTCCATCATGGCAAATGCAGGAAAACATATAGCCTACTTACTGCAAATCGGAGAAGAAGGCAAGACTTTCCAACACCAGAGTCACCAATCAAGAGCAGCTTGAATAAATAGTCACTGTATGAGGAGAAAGAGTAACAAAACATTAGACAGTCAATATTTGTCTACCAATTTTTGACAGTACAGTTGTGTGAAATACACGTTACTGTATAAAAGTTTGGGATTGGCAATACTTTTGAAAGAAGGCTCACTGAGGCTGCATTTATTTGATCAAATACAGTACAAAGTAATGTGAAATAATACTACAATTTAAAAGTTTTTGATTTTATTGTTTTAAAATGTAACTTATTCTGGCGATGACACAGCTGAATTTTCAGCAGGTAATACTCTAGTCTTCAGCATTCATATTAGAATGATTTCTGCTGATTTGGTGAAGAAACATTTCTTCTTGTTGCACATCTTAATATTTAAATATATCATGTAGAAACCAAGATGAATTCATATTAATTTTTTTTTTTTCAGGATTCTTGGACAAACAGAAGTCTTTACTGTCACTTTTGATTAATTTGATGTATCCTTGCTGAATAAAAGTATTAATTTCTCTAAAAAATAACTTTTGAATGAGTGTACCCCGTTATATTGATGCAGACAGTTGACCCTACATCTCAAAACACCCAAGCCTTGAACCCAACTGTTGCTTTCTTTCACTGTATATTATACATTGTTTATATTTTTTTAGATGTACATTAGGAATGAGGTCATTAAAATCCCCCTGCAACATGTGAAATAGATCAGACCCTTGCTTTCCAGCACTGTAAGACCATTTTCTGATGTAACTCAGTTAAACAGTGTAAATCAGTCACTGGTCCACTTTTGCATGCAGAAAATAAAATGTTTGTTTAACAGAAACAATGTGCTTGAGGACCTCTGAGGTCGGGAAACTCGTGTAAGCTGATTAAGCATTCCACGGAGAGGGAATTTTGCCCATTGTGATAAATCCTCTGTCCCTATTCAACATGCATTAGTAAGAAAAGACCATAGGAAGGAAATCCAGTGGATCGGTCTGGTCAAGACCAGCTCATCGACTCAGCAGAACGGTCTGTTTTCATCTCCATCCTGCCCACTAAACTGAATTCAAGACATGCTCTCCTTGTTAGGTCTCCTGTGTAGAGACCTGCTACACAAAAAAACTGCATGTAAAGACCCTCGGTTTATACACTGGTTTCTGATTTCTATCAAACAGAATAAGTAGGTGTGGTATAAGTGTCTTCAACTAAGTTTAAACATGCAGATCTTAAGTTCTGCATTATATCCTATATGGATGTTAAAAGCTTGTCATGAATTCTGACTTGCAGTCTTTAAAAAAAAAAAATCACTATTCATGTTCTTTCAGGAAGCCACAAATGTATACACATTTGTATTGAATCTTTTATACAAATCATGCGAAGAACCGAAAGACAAGTGTTAACCTCTAAACAACTATCATTGTAATAGCTCCTAACTATGAAAAAACATACTTCACCCTTATTCTGACCATGTAAAACACAAGCAACAGCTGATACGAAGTCCATTAAGTAACAGAGTTGCTTAACACTCAGTCTAGTGATAGTTGTAATGAAGTGTGTAGCTTGTCATTTGGCATGTGACCTACACATGACTACCGCACAATAGAGGAAGGGATGGGCACTTCAGTTCCTTGAGACATACTTGACATCTGCACATTCAGTTATTTAGACAGGAGTGTAGAAACCTCACAATTCAGTGCCAATGGACACAGGAAACATGGCAACAAATACCTTTAAAGATTATGTAAATAAATACTGATAAGGAAATCAAGATAGCACAAATCCGACTGGTGCTGTGGAAATGTGGCTATTATGCATGTAATCTTGCTAAACCATCGTTTATTTCTAAGAAGCACACCGAAAAACCATGACTTTAACTTATACATGTAAGTTTAGTGTCCAAGTGTACAGTAATTATACACCTGTGATTAAAAATTTAGTGTTAAACAAGGCACGTGACTATATTTCTGTGTGCGGCAAACCCAGGTCATAAAACACATGAATAAAAGATCATAAATTACTTTATAAACTTTAAAAGGTGTTTTAGCACATAAATGGACGCGACTAACTGATTATTCACTAGTAATTTGCTAGACTATCTTCCTGATAATGACATCCATTTTTGAACTAGCTACTTAAACCGCAACCCTCTTTCTGAACAAACTAAGGGGTCAGCAACAGGTTACCAAACCACTTAAGTTAATCAGTTATTTATCTACTTCAACAGCTCGTCAAGCTGTTTAAAAAGTAAGTTAAGTGAAAAGCGATCTGAAGACGTTAGCTTACATCAGCTAGCTTTCATATTAATTTCTGATGAAGCCTGGCAGATAACACGTGTTTTAACAGAATGAGATTAAATTATTACAATATACTAAGTGTTAAAGGTGTGGTATGACTAACTAATGAGCTCTACTTGTCATAAATGTAACGCGGATGGATATTTAAACCAGCTGCGCTCCGCTATACAACAACAGCCGCTTAATCACAAAAACACTTCTTTAAAGAAAGCTAGATGTTAAAAATTCTGGTCTTTAAAATCAAGTTGCTTTCCGGCTTTGACTAAGTGAAATAGATAAAATACAGTGATATTAGTTGCTGGTAAGATTAAACACACAGCTAGTCATCATCGCCTCTGCCTGTCAAAAGTAGCTACAGGTAAATTATGAGCTCAGTAACGACAAACAAGCAGTGTAATAACTCAACCACTTACTATTCGGGATTCATCGTGGACTGGACACTGTGAAAACCGTTTGTCTTCTAACAAAACAACTCCGCGGCGTGAAGGTAGACTAGAAACAACCTTTCCCCCGATTAAAAAGTAACTAGCTGGCTAGCTACTGCCGCAAAGGCTAGTCGGTTGAAACCCAAAATGGCTGACTCTTCAACCAGGAAATAGGAACTCCTTAAACAGATTGCGTAGGCAATGTCGTCATCATGACCTGTGCGGATGTTGTAGTTTAATTCAGATCATCTGGCCTGCCCGAACAGAAAATGTCTGCAGAAAGAACTACAATACCCACATCTGTTTATTAAACGTTCACGATGAGTTCATAGTGAATTGAATCGTTCACGCCTGAGGACTGCCGCAATCCTGCCCCCTATCAAGAGGGGTAAAATATTACGTCATTTGTGAAACGTGGCATTGACTAATGTGAGTGCGAGTCACTGATCAATACGTGTCAAAAAGAAGACCGCGACCCACCAGATACATTTTTATTGATTATGAGAATAATAAACAAAGTGGTTTTCATACAAAGTATTCAAAGGTTAATACAAATGTTAAAAGTAATGACGTTTTATGACCAACCACATACTTAATGAGTAGAAATTAAACATTTATGGATTTCTGTTGGTTAATGACTAGCTCCTCCACCGAACTCAACACTTGGCTCCAGAATGTGTATGGAAATTCCACTGAAGATGCAGCTCCGACCTCTCCCTGGGAAAAGACCATAGTTTAATTAGGCTGATAGAAACCTGAATCAGCTGCGATTAAGGGTGTGAGCTGCTAAAATGACTTCTTTTTTTTTTTTTTATCAAAAAACAATAAACAACCTTTACAAATGTGTAAGTTCAAACAGCATACAAGCAATATTTATTATACTGAGGTCAGGAAATACAGTGTTTACCTTCATATTCAAAGAAATAAGCCCAATTTCAAAGCATTTATCGACACCTATTCTCCTCTGTATGTCGGCAAGCACAGCGTGACAGGCTTCATTAGGAGATGAGCCCTTGATAGCAGACAAAAGATGAGAGAAATGTGAGCCAGATCTAATTTACTACAACACAAACATTTTTCTAATGGTTTAATGAGATTTTCATTGACCGCCTTCACGTTACACCACCTCTACTGTCAAAAACACAAACGTCACGATACCCATATCCTCATAGAATTTAACATGAAATACTACAGTGTAGAAAATGTGTTTGATTAATGCAGATTACACCTTCACATTTTGATACATTTGGACATTATCCTATATATTATTACTGAAATAAATAATACACAACTGAATATTTATCCAAGGTGATAATTGATAAATCAGTATTACATACTTGTTTCATCAGCTGCACAACATGAAAGCTTGGGCAGTAGCACATGATTTTGTCTCCATCACCTGTAGCTGTGGAGAGAAGGAATTTATACAGTGGGTATATTCTCCAAGTGTAAAGTGTTAAGTCTCCAAAGGATCTGTATACTGCATGTTTAATAGTACAGTGTGATATTTACTGAGAAATAATGCATTTGTACAAGAACAAGCTCAGATTCAATGTATAAAAAAATATTTCAATTACCTGCTGCGGCACCCACCTGAAAATACAGAGAACAAGGTTGTAAAGAAACTTGTCATACTTGTACAAATTAATAATTTGATAGTACAGAAATAGGCTATGAGCTGAATGATAAAAGCCCTGCAAAGCTTATTAAATGACCTATAAAGCTGCACAACTTACTGTATGGTCAGCGTATAGACCACAGCCTGGAAGTGGAGAATCTCCCACCCGCCCTGGTGATTTGAAGGGAGCTCCTGATGTGGAAACTCCTGCACAATATGTGTACATTTAGGTACATACAAATGTTTGTTGTAAAATAACAGAATTTATAAGTAAATGCTTGGCAAACGTCAATTCTGTATTATTAGACTCATATCGATACTGTATCATGGTCGAATAGTTAAATATGAACATGTACTACATCAGAACAATATTTTTTAGAAATAAAGCTTATTTCAGAGAATAGGAAATGTAAACATTTTCAACCTTACCTACTGTTATGTTACCACTTAGATCAAGAGCTATAAGACCTGAGAAAGTAAACAAGATTAAACCATCACAAAATGCATAATCAGAAAATTGTGTGTTGAATGTTACTGTTATATTTTATTTAGGGTTGTTTAGGGTTGCAAAGGGGTGGAAAATGTCCAGTAAGTTTCCGGAAACTTTCCAAAAATCCCTGGAATATTCCAAATATTCCACCTTCCACCTTTTTGCAACCCTAATTTTATTACATTAGGCCATACTTGGTTGAACAATTATTTTGTCTGCCAAATTCACAACCTAGTTGAGTCATCTTAACTTAAAAAATGGGTTTGGTCCAGATACGATTTACTCATCGAGAAAGCTTTCACATTATATTAATCTCTTACGTATTGTATCATGTCCACCTCTAACAGGTTTATTTTTTTCAAGGTATTCCTTTTGGAATATATATATAAAAAAAACACAGAAAATGTCATTAAAATCAATTAGCAAATACAGTACGTGTTCTTTCTAGGGATTGAAATAACAATGTGGAAGAAACATCAACTGCAAGTATAATACACCGTGTGTGTGTGTGTGTGTGTGTTTGTGTGTGTGTGTGTGTGTGTGAATGAATACCCGGTAAGCAGTAGCTGAATGGTCAGAAAGCATATTGGCATTGGGTTCAGATGTAAAACCCAATTCCTGAGCAAATGCTTCTGCTCCATCTCCAACAAGCAAGCTGTGAGGACTCTTCTCCATTACTTTGCGAGCTACACGACATGGCTGTGCAATTCTAGCAATGAAAACACAAGCATACAAGATGGTTCAGGGCCAGGTGGCACTTTTTTCCCCCCAAACAGTGCATGACAAACGAAAGCATTGTACCCTGGAGGCATTTTGTTACATGTAAGAAATTCCACTGTATAAAATAATCAAGTTTTTTTTTTTTTTACCCGCAAAGTGCAGCCACTGCCCCAAATCTCCCTGGCACACCTTCCATAATTGCAGCATCACATTCAACCACTCCCTTGAAATTTGGATATCCTCCTCTGCCAACAATGTGCCGTCCCGTGTCTACATCATCTTCAACCTCTAAGAAAATATACCTCTTATTATTAATTAGAAAAACATAAATGCATTGTTGTTGTTTATAAAAGAAAGATACCATGATATAGAAAACTATTTACTTACTATTTATGACACACTTAATAAATACATTTCAACACTTCCAGTAAACCTCTTAATTAAATAAAGTCTGCTTACTTTAACAAACATAGTCTTGGGATTAATATGACAAAAGGGAACTGCAAAAGTAGTAAGAATAGTGAGTATTTTGTTTCATGAGCCACTTGAAAACCAGTTGTTTAATGTCCATCTGCCTCATTTATTAACAGTACCTGTATTTTTCGACCACCTTTAAATAATAAAATTTCACGTAGTTAATTGATGAAGACTGAAGAGTACAAACAGATGTCTATTTATATGTACCTGCCATTGCTGTTTCTACAACATCTGTAGCATTTTGTCCAGCTAGCAGCATACATCTCATTCTCTCCACTGCAGGACGAGAGAAAGACCATGTCCCCACAGCTGCCATTTGACATCAATACATTTAAACGTTCATTTCCCTCTTTTGTAAGAGTTAAAGTGTAAGCCAGAAGATTGTGAAAATACAATTTCAAAATAAAAGTCAGTGCGTTCATTGAAAGTGACGAGATTTTTAATGGACATGGGAGAGAATTTTTTATATTACTTTGGAAGTTGTATAGGAAAGTGGTCTGGCTTATAATTTGTTTCATACATGATTAAACAATATTACAATGTTTTGAATACGTGTATAAGCAAAAAGTAAAGAGCAAAATTGTAATATTATTCCCAAACATTTTATTAAGTGAAGCAGCAGCTTTTTACTACACTCTAGCACTTTTTTATTTTTACATTTACTTAATTTATTTTTTGCAAAATTTAGTGATTTCCTCATTTTAACTTCTGTTTTTCAATGTTGATTTATTATTATTATTATTTTCGTGCTGCTTAAATTAAAATCCATGAATATAAAATAGTGCAAACAAGTGATGTGAACCCATAATGCACCGGAAGCGCATTGTTAAAGTCGGCGGAAGTTGTTGTGAAATCTCGTGTTTTGCGCGCTCCTTGCGCTTCTGGAACTATTCCGCACGAACTCATTGCCAGCCTGAGCGATTCTGCTAATTAACGGTTTGTTTGGACGTTTTTTCATATACAATCCATTACACAATTTCGGCAGAGGGAGCTGTTATATATGTAGCATGGACTGCTTGAGTTTGTAACGAATAGATTAGCTCCACGCTGGGCTTCATTCTGCGCCGAAGGCATTAACGTTACTCTGATGCGTGATAATTGGTCAGCTCTGGCGTCACTTTCGGTTGAATGTGAATTGTCATGTTAAGCGGCGTTGTTTATGTTATATAACATTGATTTGAATTTCCGTAGAGCCACATTGCAGTGCAAATAGCATCATTTCCCTCTAACTTACTCTACTCTTGGTGTGTACATTATTGACACGTTTTATATGTTCTGTAAATTTAATTTTAAATTTATATTCCCTGTGAATTTAGAGTAATGACACTGCGCAGTCTTCATTTTACAACCGAACCATTCAATTATGTTCCCCCCTTTTAGATATGCACGTATTTATTTGTCTACAACGCACGCAAGTTTATCACAAGACGTAGTGCTACACTGTTGTGTGAAAGTGTGTTTGTTAGATTGGTTTTTGTGTTCTTTTTCACCACAGTTCTTTTAAAGCTATTGGAGTCTTCAAGCTAGTCCTGAAATCACTACTTAGTTGTTTTGCTTCATAACCTGTCAATATGGAGCAGAACAACAGCCTACCTCCTTTCCCTCAAGGGCTGGCATCTCCGCAGGTGAGTAATGCAGTGCTGAGTAAGCATAAATACACTGGAATAAACTACACTGCTTTTAAAGTCTGCACAGATTTTAAAATATTAGGCATCATACACTTGCCAAGAAATGCAGAGAAAAACTAGGGAATCATACATTACGCCAGGGGTTTTTAAACGGAAACCCAAATATTAATGTCCTGGTGCAAGGGACCCCCACTGTAGAAAATTAAATGTCATTTGAATAGATTTTTGTATAAAGCACCGCATTATACTATGAAAAGTTAATATTGTTAATATGTATTATTATTTGGAAAATATTTAGGTTTAATTAGGCTACATTATTTGTCTGTTAGTATAGTATTGAACTGTTACATTTATTGTAAATTAATTTAAATTAAATCTGTGCAGAAGACATGTAGTATATTCCAGCCTTTACATATAATACAGATATTTTAATCAAAACGCTTTCAGTGCATCAGCACAAAGTTAACAATCCCCTCGCATCTATTCAAAGGGAGCCATGACGCCTGGCCTGCCCATTTTCAGTCCCATGATGCCGTACGGCACGGGTCTTACACCACAGCCAGTGCAGAACACCAACAGCTTGTCCCTCCTGGAGGAGCAGCAGCGACAGCAACAGCAGCAACAACAACAAGCAGCCTCACAACAGCAGAGTGGGATGGTGGGAGGTTCAGGCCAGACACCCCAGCTCTACCACTCGCAGGTCTCCACCACAACGGCACTGCCAGGCAACACGCCACTTTATAACACACCACTCACCCCTATGACCCCCGTCACTCCTGCCACACCGGCCTCAGAGAGCTCTGGTATCGTTCCCCAGTTACAGTGAGTTCTTTAGCTGTCATCATCAAACAGTCCTGTCAAAAACATTGTTGGTTGACTTTCAGATAATAAAAAGTGCTTTTGAGCTGTTAAACATGTCTGAGATGATCATATCATGAGTACACTTTATGCTTTAGTCTGCAGTCTGCAATTTCTGTGTATTATGTGCAAAAAAAATGAAGTATATTAAATTTTATTTTTAAGGAATATTGTGTCTACTGTAAACTTGGGGTGCAAACTTGACTTGAAGACGATAGCACTTCGAGCCAGAAATGCTGAATATAATCCAAAGGTAAGACTAGTTTTAATTGGTTAAAATAAGCTTAGACGGTTTGATTTTATTTCCTTTTTTGTATTTTTTGAACTTTTGCAAAGATTACAGTTCAAGTGGATCACAAATAGATATTTTCTGAACAATAACTTTTTATGCAATGTCTTTTTTGGCAAAAACCTCCATTTTGATTGAACACAAATATCCATCAATAACACTTTCAGCGTTTTGCTGCCGTCATCATGAGAATACGAGAACCCAGAACAACAGCGCTCATCTTCAGCTCAGGGAAGATGGTGTGCACAGGAGCGAAAAGGTACGAATGCCATCTGCGGACCTGCTGTCATTTTCTTCCTCTCACACAAACTTGTAGAACAAACAGCAATGTGTGAGTTTGCCTTTTTTGTGTGCACTCACTTCTGCAGTGAGGAACAGTCCCGATTGGCAGCCAGAAAATATGCCAGAGTGGTGCAGAAGTTGGGTTTTCCTGCCAAATTCTTAGACTTCAAAATTCAGAACATGGTCGGCAGCTGCGACGTCAAGTTTCCCATCCGATTAGAGGGCCTGGTGCTTACACACCAGCAGTTTAGCAGGTTTGTCTTGCTTTATTTATTATTAATATTGTTTATATAGCACATCCCAAACTAAATTGAGTACGTTTGTGTGCCTTATTTGTTTCTACACTGTTACTGTTTGTACCACTTGGGTTATGTTCATTGATTGTGTATTTTACTATTATACTAATGTATTTGCAATCCCCTGATCTTTTATTCAAGTGTGAGCAGCATTCTGACTGTGAGATGAAAAAAACTACAACACTAATATGCTGCTGATGCATATTTTTCCCCAGCTATGAACCAGAGTTATTTCCGGGATTAATCTACAGAATGATCAAACCCAGAATCGTACTTTTAATATTCGTTTCAGGAAAAGTTGTACTTACAGGTGAGATTATTGTTGTATTTAAAATGGTAAAACAGTACCATGCAGTTCTAGTATGATGTTGTGTGTCCTACTGAAGTTGTATAATGAAAATTCTTTTATTTCCAGGTGCAAAGGTTAGAGGAGAAATTTACGAAGCATTTGAGAATATATACCCTATCCTGAAAGGATTCAGGAAGACTACGTAATCTTGTTCTGTTATCGCTGGTGAATTACTTCCTGAGCCCACCGGTATGTCTGGGGTGACCTACGCAGTTTTATTTACTTTTGTAAGCCTGTAAATATGAAGGACACATTTTCTTCACTCAGAAAGTGAACAGATTTGAGGGTTAAAAATGCTTTTTTCCCTTTTTAAATGTTTTTCACCTGCCATTTGGTTTTCAAACTACTGTTTTAACTGTCCGAACATTTTAATGTTTTGAATTCTTTTATGGTTTTATGTTAAAATGTTAATTTCATACTTTTACACATTCCCTTTATTAGCAGGTTTTATGTATTGCATTACTGATTGTCTGTCAGTGAAAGGAATCAGTCTGTAGAAAGCAATGCCGATGTTGATCAGTGCAAGGGAACTCTTTTGTTTGGAGAAGTGCATTTAGGTTATTTTCCAACAAAGCTTTGGAAACAAGTTTGCGGATCATCGTTTGTTGAAGTCATCATGTGGATTTGGCCTTTTAAGTTACAGTTTTCAAATGAGATTGGTTGACATCTAACGATTTTAATTGCCATTTCATTGCATGATGACTGTAGGTCTCCCAATAGCCCCATGTAAAGCACTGACATCTTAATTTAATACTTTTGTCTATGTAACTAATTTACTTTGCTACGTTGAATGCAAATAAATGTGTTTGCCAACTTCAGTCTATCGCTGCATTGTATATTACTACCTCCGTGTATGTTTTTTGTTTTTAATAATGGTAATGAGATTACATCTTACTTCAGTAGTGTTATGATGACAGTTTTTACAACAGAAAGGACTTTAAGTGAGGAGAATCCGTATTAGTGAGATTATTTTGGATTTCATACCAGAACTACACTAATTAAACCATAAATAATAGTATTATAACAAGGCAGGAAATGGTGTTAAGATGTTGACTTTAGAAATTACAGGCTTTATTTAAAACTGATCTACATCAACGTTTATATACTACCATTCGATCTAGGGTTAATAAGATTGTTTTAATGTTTTGAAACGAGTATCTCAACAAGGCTGCATTTATTTAATCAAAAATACAGTAAACTGTAATTCTGTGAAATAATATTATTTAAAAGAACTGTTTTCTATTTCAGTATATTTTAATGTAATTTATTCCTGTGATGGCAACACTGAATTTTCAGAGTCATTACTCCAGTCTTCAGTGTCACATGATCCTTCAGAAATCACTCTTAATATGTTGATTTGCTGCTCAGGAAAAATTATCAATGTTGAAAATGGCTGTACTGCTTAATATTTCTGTGGAAACCATGATACGTTAATGTAGATTTGATTCTTAGATGAGGGAAAAGTTTAAAAGAACAGCATTTGCTTGAATCTTCTGCAACAGTGTAAAAGTCTTTACTGTCACTTTTGATTAATTTAATGCATCTTTGATAAATCAAAAAATAAATATTACTTATGTCTGAATTGCCTAAATGTTTAGTAATACTTCTTGTGAAGACCTCTTAATTTTATTTAGGGTAAGAAATTGTGTATGTCAGTGCCTTAAAATAACCAATGCCTTTATCATTTACATTTCTTCAATATTATAAATGTGGTTTTTCATGCAGCATAATAGTCTGCATTATAGTTCATTTGACTAGACCAATTCTACACTGCTTGATCTCCTGAAAAGTCTTGTTTCCAGATGAACTCAGCAGAATATTTGGTGCCTTGGTCACAGCTGTCAGCACAGGTGTAGATGGCCACTGTCCCCCAGTCTATGCTGGCATCTGTCGTATCCACTTTGAGGTGATTAAGTAACTGAGGCATGATCTGAAATAGACAGTGACACCTTAAACAGTGCAATGCATTCATCTAATGCCATTTATGAATGACTGGGGTCAGTAAGATTTTTAAAAATGTTTTATGTCTTATCACCAAGGGTGCATTTACTTAAAGCTGCAGTCCATAACTTTTGGCGTTCTAGCGGTTAATAAACATAAGTGCGTGCGTCTTGTGGAAGAACATTGTAGCCGGAGCTACTTCTCTCTGTTTATGTCTATGACGAATCACGCAGGTACTGGGCTACTACCTACCCGAACCAGTCTAAATAGTCCGAATATAAACACTTATTATAGGTGTACCTTAGTGATTCAGGACAAGCCAAAACCACGGTTTGGAAAATTGATTCATGGTGTACTCGCTTAATAAATACATTTTGTAACTTTTGAACAAAAAGTTACGGACTGCAGCTTTAACCAAAAAAAAATAATAAATAAATACAGTAAAAACTAACACTGTGAAATATTACAATTTAAAAATAGTTTTCTGTTTTAATATTTTATATTATTAATTAATTAATATTATATCTTTTAAAATATATTTTATTCGTGATGGCAGAGCTAAATTTTCAGCAGTTATTACTCCAGTTTTCAGTGTCACGTGATCCTTCAGAAATCATTCTAATATTTTGATTTGCTGCTTAAGAAACATTTCTTATTATTATAAATGTTGAAAAAAGTTGTGTAGCCTAATGTGTGTGTGTGTTTTTTCCAGAAATCTTTTGTAACATTGTCTTTTGATCAATTCAATGCATCCTTGTTCTTTCAAAACAAATCTTACTGACCCTACATTTTGAACAGTAGTGTATGCATGACTACGTGCTCTTTATATTTAACATATACTTTACGTTACCTGAAATTCAAACAGACGTTTTGCACCACATGGACATTCTGGAACATCCTCCTCACGTGGCACATGTTCAGCTGACACCCAAAGAGGAGATCCTACTTTGCAATACCGCAAAACCTTAAAAATACATATAAAAATCACACAGATGTTGAACCACACAACACACAAAAGCCATGGCCAGCATTTGCTCTTCAGGCTGTGACTTTGTAACTGACCTGTTGTGGTTCATTAGCAATGCGCTTCTTGAACTTCTGAAACACTTTAGAGTCTTGTGTTTCATGAAGGGCCATACTTTCAAGTTCACTGTCCTCCAAACCTGAGAGCGTAAATAAACACTGTAAATGATTATTCCTTGACAAGATGTGGAAATATCAGGCTGCCAAATCTGATCTGAAAGGTGTACCATTATTTAAGCATGCCATGCTCTCCTGATCCAGACTGTGGGCTTCATGGAGTTCCTCATCTTTTGCTAGAAGCTTTTCCGGGTCTGTAACCAGCTCCCACTCAGGAAACAGAAATGAACTGAGCTCCTCAGAGCTTTCAGAAGCTGTGGATTCAGATATGAAGACAACATGCAAATAGATTAAAGGTAACATAAGATCTTGACTGAAATAATGCATAACATGTCCAGCATTTACTTACCCTCATTTGAACATTCTTTCTTGTGTCTGTGTTTCCAGTCTATGGTCTGATGCTCTTTACAGCAGTATGTGACAGAGTGACATTGAGAGCAGGCTTTCTGTCCCAGACAACCACACAGCCTGCACAGTTTGAGCCCAGAGCCCAGAACCTGATGATTATTCACTAGCTGCTCTGGCTTCTCATCAGGAGGAGGATCAAAGGGGTAAAAGTCGTTTTTCCTTGGCAGCTGGCATCTAAACACTGGAAATGGGGGATAGTACAGAATACTGTGACTTTATGCCTATGTTATAGACAGAGGTGTAAAGTACTTGAGTAAATGTAACTAATTACTGTACTTAAGTATCTTTTCGGATACTTTGTAGTTTTACTGAGTATCAAAAACATTAGCAACTTTTACTCTCTACTTCACTACATTTTTGAATGAGTATCTGTACTCTTTACTCCACTACATTTGAAATGAGTGTTGCAGTTACACATTACATTTTACATGGCACCTAGCTTTTCTGCAGCAGTTTATTTATGCTACAAAAGATGTGATATCGCCCACTACAGGGCACTGAAATTAATATATCTTGTGCATTTTGCCCTTACCCAAACTTGTCAACAAGGTTACTTTACATGAATGTGAGTTCCTTAGCCAGTAGTTGTGAATCACAGGCGTTTTATATATGAGATGAGGACATGACTGCAGCTGGCAATGAGGCCCAAACCAGCACAGCCAGTGCAAGAAGACTTTGACTTTTTAATTTTACTTAACATTATTTTATTTATCCGTTATACTAAAGAGACCTTTTTGAAGGATATTGTTTTTTGTTTGTTTTTGCAATTTTGAGGTGTTCAGTTTTATTTTGGTTTTAGAAAATACTATCTACATGTTTCACTTCTGTTTCAGTTTTTATAACCATTTCTTACTATGTGTAAGTAAGTTGTTGTTTTTTAGCATGCAAGTTTGGCAGTGTTATTTTTTAGGATTACTGATAAACTACTGTCGTTTGATTTGTATTATTTGTATTTGTTATTTATATCTCCTTGCACTGGCTACCGGTTGCGGCTCGAATCAAGTTCAAGACATTGATGCTTGCATATAGAACAGCCACAGGCTCAACACCCGCCTAGTCGCTTTGGATAAAAGCGTCTAATAAATGACTAAATAAATACAGAAAATAAGCGTGATTGCTCTCCTCACAAATCAGCTCTTTCTTGTTTTTGTTGCATTTTCTGTGCCTTGGACTTTTATGTCACTTCCTGTCTCCTGTGGTGTTTGTAGTCAGTTTGTATCTTATCTTATTCAGCTTGTTAGCCTCCTGTGTATATATATATATACAGCCCTAGTGTTTATTTAGTTCTTCGTGAGTTGCTGAATGTAATGGTTGTCTGTTTGCCAGTCATTCTGTTCTTTGTTCCCTGTGGTTTTTGGCTTATTGTTTGTTCTAGCTTTTCCATTAAATACCTGCACATAGATCCTTGCCTCTGCCTGTTTTTCCCAGCTTCTCCACAACATTACAGTTTTTCAGTGGCATGTCTCTTTGACTAGTGCATCTTTGAGCCTATATTTAGTATAAGTAAAATACTTAAGTACTGTTAAAATCAGATACTCTAAGGCTTTTACTCAAGTTGTTTTGGAATTGGTGACTTGTAACATGTAGTGGACTAATTTTCACTGTAAGGTATCTGTATGGTTTTCAGGCACTCTTTACACCTCTGGTTATAGAGAAGCTTATATTATGAGCCACGATTAAAACGTCTGACTTTATTCTGTGGAAAATAAAAGTAGATCTTCTGAAGAATGTTGGTAACCAAACCAGTTTTGGCTCTTATTCACTTCCATTGTACTTACCACATTATTCAAAATATCTATTTTCATGTTTCACAGAAAAAAAGTCAAAGGGGTTTGGAACGTCATGAGCGTGTTAGTTAAAAAAATAATTTCTGAGGTGAACTATCACTTTAATAAAATTTGAAATAAAATAGGTAAATATATAATTAAAATATTAATACATAAAAACATTAGTAGGCTCTGTTCAAAATATGACAGGTTATAAATTACCTTTAAAACACTTGTTATCATTTCGCGTATAGCAAGCTGGTGTCTTGCAGCAGAACACAAACAGTGTTCTGTGAAAACATCGATCATATTCCATAACTGGTGCGTAGACCTGCAGAAGAAACACGGTTGGAAGTTTACATTTCTCACACTGTAACTCGGACACAACTGGCAAATCCACTTGGCTCAACCACGCAGGTCTCCCTCCGACTTTACTTGCAAACTGGTTACTAAGAAGCTGCCATGATTCTGCCTCCTCTAAGAAGCCCAACACGACCTCACGGTTTGTTTTGGATTCTTTCACTGTACTTGCAGCCATCTGTCAAACTCTCATATGCATATAAAGCTACAGGTTTCGGAATCATGTGCGTGTGTCTGTTCATCTGAACCTGAGGCTCGGGTGAAACAAGATCTGCGACTAACGTTCCACACGAAAATAAGAACCAGAGCAATAAAACACACATAATGTAGATAAAACTCCCTAATATAATATAAATTAATATTATTACTAGTTTATATTAATATTTACTATTAGAGTAAAAAGCATTTTTAAAGTATATAGAAATATTTTGTTCTTGGGGGGAATTTAAACCTGTTTTAGCATTTGTCCAATAGATGGAGTAAAAATTCCACGCTCCCTTTTGG